AATACTTGGAGAAAGTAAATTATTAATATATATTAATCAATAAATATATTTTAATGGCATAAATAGTTTTCTGTATTGATATATTCAACAAGTATATGTTTTATAAGCCAGATTCAGCAAGGAATTACACATGTGCCTAAGGACCTTCTTGAACCAGGGCCTACAGTATTAAAATATATAGAGCATAACAGTTAGGCCCTAATCCAGAAAATGTTCCTATTGAGAACAGTTTATAAGTACATGCTTAACTTTGATCAGTTTCTTAAAATTAAGAATAAATGGTGTGCAGCATAGGCAAACAGGGAGGTACTTAAATATACACTTCAGTGCTTTGCTGAATTGTGACCCAAGTTAGGTAACTGCTTGAATACATTTATTTAACTATTATACTTAATTAAAACGTTGCCTCTTGCCTAATAAAATGCTATTTGCAGAAACAAAACTGTAACCCACATATGGGATCATTAGTAGTATTTCATGATTGTTGCTGTACTCAATAGCTTGAGGTAAAAATAGAAGTAGTTAATGTTCTGATACATTCCTCATTGATTCTACCAATTAATTTCAAGGTTTAATCACTAATATTAAAATGGCTTCCAAAACAAACAGCAAATATATATTTAAATTACTATTTAAACAGGCCAACAATCCTTAGGCAGGAGGCACATTGCAAAATATACTTTTAAACTGTTATGAAACTAGCTAGGGCAACAGTAATCCATACATGGAGGAGACAATTTGCAAAACCGATGGTTTCCTCATATACAAAAATCCCATTTCCACAAGGAGCAAAGTGTTCTCAAATTTCCATTGAAGGCAATGCCAAACTCATAGATGCTTTTCACAAGGAAGCTGGGATGATGATGATGATGATGATAATCATTTGCGTTGTATTTTTAATCAGTGGATCTAAAAATGATAGCTATTTCATAGATTTTTAGACTGAGGTATACAGCTTCCATGTGCCAAAACAAATTAAGTCTAAAGCAAGTCTAAAATAGTAGTCTAGAGGAGCTGTCAAAATGCTGCCAGTGGTAATTAAAAATAACAGGACTAGAACTAAAAAGAAAATCGTGTGTCATAGCCCAAGTGGTGTGTAAACATAAAAATGGAAACAAACAAAGAAGTTGGAAGCCAGTTAATATTTAGCAATATGTCACATATGTTCAGACTGTGTTTTTAAAATTAGAACTGCAATTGGCATTAAAATATATCAAGCTAAGCTTTTTCTAGCAAGCACCTGTGAAATGGTCAACAAAATAAATGTGACAGCCCTATTCTTACACTAAAATGATGCACTATGTAGAAAGTGAAAATAACCATCTATGCTTGATTAATTAGTTTTGTAAGTATTGTCCAAGAACTAAACAATATTTCTAAAGATTTCAATAGTTCAAAGATTGCCCTATGGCCGTCTGGCCAATACATCTTCCAGCACACACAGTTTACAAGCATTTTTCTTCCCAATATGTTGTCTTTGGTTGGTGCGACATTGTGTGAGTGCAGGTCTATTTGGGTCAAAGTGGTTTTCTTCACATCACAGCAGTGGTGCTGAGTACAGCACTTTGACCATACATCTTTCATGTCATTTCAATCAAAGGCACATGATGCTTCCTGGTGACCAATCAGGAATGGTCCAGCATTCTAACAGAGGGTCATATTGGCAAACCAAGCTTTCTTAATGACAGGCATTGTTCAAGACAAACAAAAGCACGGTCCTGAATATTAACATGTGGCCTTGTGTAAAGGTCATCTATATGGCACATTCATCATATTTCAAAAACAGGGGGAAAAACACTTTGCAAATTCTGTCCAAGCCCATTATTGGTCTGAATAAATTTACTAAACTGACAGCTGAAGCAAATAGAGCAAACTATTTTGAATGATGATTTCCTTAATAAAAACATCCTTGCAATGCTTTGAATATGCAATAACAATTCAGAGACCGAACATGAGACAAAGGATATGCTCTTTGTTTCGTGCTAGCGGGGGTTATTTTAATTATGTTGTCCAATTAAAAAATTAATCTGATAATCTGTAATAATTAGACTGAACAGTAGTTCTCTCTAAGAGAACAAACTCCCCACAAAAATTCCTGTGGACTAGTATTTGCTGTATATTAAGAAGGATCATTCAGTCACCATAAGTGTTCTGTTTCATGAGGCATAAAAATGGCTTCAGTTGTAAAATTATTAGAAAATTTAAATGAATAGAGCATAAAACATCAGATTAAAAATTTAGACCTGATCCTACAATAAGGCCTCACTAAGGCCAATGCTACTACTTTCACTGTAATAAGAGTTATTAC